GGACTCCCGGCCCGCCGGCAGGGAGAAGATGTAGCCGAGCCTGTGGTGCAGGGCGGAGCCTGAGGAGTGGGGTGTTGGGCTCACAGGGGAGGGGTAGGATTGGGTTTTGGGGGGTGTCTTTGCAGGGGGTGTGTGTCTGGCTGAGCCCTCACCCCGGCCTCCCCAGGTGAAGCAGGCGTCGCTGCGTGCTCACATCGGGGTGGTGCCCCAGGACACGGTGCTCTTCAACGACACCATTGCCAACAACATCCGCTACGGACGGATCCTGGCCACTGACCAGGAGGTGCAGGAGGCAGCCCAGGCTGCTGGCATCCACGACCGCATCCTTTCCTTCCCTGATGGTCTGACATCCCCGCCCGCCACCTTTCCTTCCCTGATGGTGAGACCCCCATGGTCCCCTCCTTGCCCTCCCCTGCCGTCCCCCATTACCTTGTAGCTGCCCTCGCAGGTGTCCTTGGGTGACGTCCCCCATGGGGACACCTGCACGACCTTGTGCCTTGCTTTGCCTCTCCCTGCCATCTCTTCAGGGCTCAATCGGCCCCTGGGCAGGGAGGGGTTGAGGCTGCGCCAGGCGGCTGCGTGGTCCCGGCAGGACCCCCCCAAGCAGCAGAGCCCCGATCCCCATCCCCGTCTTGGCGGGCACCAGCACAGCACGTTCCTGCCCTTGTGCCTGCAGGATACAACACCCAGGTGGGGGAGCGGGGGCTGAAGCTGAGAGTTGCCATTGCACGCACCATCCTGAAGGGTCCCCGCATCATCCTGCTGGATGAGGTAACGACAGCAGCCCCCAGCCCAACCTTGCCCCGCTCTGCAGCAGCCCCTGCCCCAGCGGCTGCCTGCGCTGCCCACCTCGCACTCGACACGGAGACCGAGAGGAACATCCAGGCCTCCCTGGCCAAGGTCTGCGCCCACCGCACCACCATCGTTGTTGCACATAGGTAGGGATGGGGGAAAGGGTTGATCTGGGAGATGCTGAGCTCGCCGAGCTGGCCAGCCCCCCGCAGAGGGACTCACACACCTACCCTCCTGCCTGGGAGGTGACAGCCCCTGTGATTGTGGCTCCTTGCACTGTGCAAACCCCTCTCCTGGGCCCTGTTCCCTCGGACAATGGGATAACACCCTGCCTTTCCCTGCAGGCTCTCCACCGTGGTGGGTGCAGACCAGATCCTGGTGCTCAAGGACGGGCGCATTGCGGAGCGAGGGAGGTGAGC